CACTTATGGAATATATGAGTGACCATTAAAACAATACACATTAATGTTTATATAAAAAGATATGTATGGCATTGCTAAGTAAGCAAAGCAGCATATGTTTTCTTTATGACGTCGTCTTTGTGTCACTTCGTATGTGTGCCTATCAGTCCTAGACAAGAACTTGTTCTAGGCTGCATAGATGACAGTCATATCCCGTGACAGTGTAGTGCAAGGCAACAGTGCCAGAAAGAGAAGCACACTGGGCTGAGGACCTCACAGTTAGTTACCTGTTTGTCACCTGTGCTGCTTTTTTGATAGATGTCTGTCTTTCTGTGAGCTCATCTCCAAAAGTGAGGGCAGGGTGGTCATGAACTCTGTTAACAATGGTAAACACACCGCACTGGTTGATTCCTCTTTCCTCTGCATCCATGAGAGGCAGTAGCCATCAGCCTTACTGTTCCTTCCCTGGACTCGGTCATGCCAGCACATTCTACACCCACTCTTCAAGGCCACTACTTCTAAATAGATGGTGCTTTGTATTTGAAACTCTTTGGCATCCTCTGACAAGGATGGTCTTAGAAGATCTTTCAGCTATAAGACTTTTCTGATTAAAGAACAAAGGTGTTGCAGGAAATAAAAGACAAATGCTTTTTGGGGAACCAATAAAGAAATGAAAACAAACATATGAAATAAAACATTACAATACATTTTATTAAGGTTTTTCAGCATATAATTAATATAAGGATTACGAGTTTGCCCTTATTTTGTAGAAAATGTTTTTCCACTTAGTGTGTAGAGCACATCCTGTTCTTGACAGAAATTTTTCATTAGGAAAGTTTGACTATATTTAAAATTATAGTTTAATAACCATATTCTCATACCCACATTGTTCATTTTCTCATACTGGGATATTAGTTTTTTAATTAAGTTAAAGTTAAGTAAAATTAAAGATTGAGATGAGTTTGCATGAGTTGCCATTCAAGGGCACAGTAGCAACAGATGACTGGTGGCTACTGTATTGGTCAGCAGATGTTTGGCAGCCATAAAAACTTGGGCCGGGTTTTACCTTTCAAGATTTTCTAGTTTAGAGAGCAAGATATCAAAAATGAACATATAAATATTAAAATAACATAATCCAAAACAGCGTAACTATGTGCTAGGAATTGGCCACAGACAACCTAAGTGCTACTGGGGTAGGAAGTTCTAGAAGCACCCGCAGCTGGATGCTTTGAGCACCACTCTGAAGCCTGAGCGGCAGTGGTGATGTGTTGAGTTCGTGAGAATGGAGTGTCTTACTTTAGAAAGTGTGTGTGTTCTGCCCGCAGGCATGGGACCCGCTGTGCTGGAGAAGTGGCAGCCGCTGCAAACAACTCTCACTGCACAGTTGGAATCGCATTCAATGCCAAGATTGGAGGTATGGAAAACAAACCTACGCACATAGAGTTACAAGCCAGGCGGTCTTTTGCTAACTAGTTTTCATAATGCTTTTGAAACTAGATGGGCATATCTTTGCATAATAAATAACCTTTGACTATTGTTGATAGCAAAACCACTAGGTAACATGCACCACTGAACATAGGTAAGGACCACAGATGAAGTACCCTAACATGTTGCAAGCATGCGTTTTCTAATGGGTTTGAAGAAAGAAGTGTTATTGTATTTAGTAGTACAGATGGGAGGCTCAGATGTTTATAACGAAATTCTACAATTGGTACCTGGATAGGAAGGAACTGGCAGTAGACACATCAGGCTATGATAGATCTAAGGAAAGAAGCATTTTGAGGTTCTCTCAAAGCAGAAAGTACATCATGTGTGTGATGGTTAGCCTTTTGGAAGAAGGGCTTTGTAATTGTACTTAAAATGGCACATGGTAAAATCTCCTTTGGTAATCACATGAGGTAGTTATGTTTGCACAAATGGGCCCAGGTTCTATCTATACATACACAAAGATGCCCAAACTCAAATACACATAGGTTTATTTTAAGGATCCAGCCAAGGCAGTATAAATCCAGGTGCTGATGAAAGTAAGCTTTACCATTTGTAGTCATCTCTGTAAGCAACAGCCAAGTGCCACAGTCACATGCAAAGGGGAGGAAAGCATTCTGTACAGGTCCTCTGCCTGGCTTAAAAGTGTTCTATAAGGGTCTGATAAACGGTGCTGTAGGATGAATGGCGCTTGTGAATCTAGGCTAGCCTTGTTGTTTCTAATGCACTATGCAACCAATAATAAAACCGAAAAAATTGCGAAACTAGACTCTTAAAAAGTTACTTAAAACACATATTGTTTCTTTCTAAAATCTGCCAGTAAATATTTTTGCTTAGATGACCTTGGATAACTGAATCTGTGGAAAGTGAGACCACGTAGAAGAAGGCAATGGGATATAATAGCAGTGCTAAGAAAAGGTTTTCTAAAATTACCCTGAATGTCAGTCCACAGTAAATGTGACCTCTTTCCTTTACTTCACCCTGAATTTTGTCCTTTGACAATTTGTTAACCAGTAATTAGCTGTGCTCCACAGCATCCGCCATGCCTCGGGAGGAAGATGTGGAGATGCTAAAAAAAGGAGACCGGGGCTTTTCCAAGAGGGCTGAGGGTACCGCGGGCCCTGTTCCTCCCAGAGAGCCAGAGCAGGTTGCTGGCCAGCTGCTCTCAGGCCAGGACTCATCTGTCAAGTGAAGACTCATGCCCCAGCCCCTACCCCTGACCTTGAAGGCACAGGGGACGAACTTGTGAACTCACAGTAAAATGCTGCCCTATTTTCCCAGCACCTTCATTAGAAGAACAAACGGTTGGTGATAATTTAAGATGCTCTAAGCAAGATCATACTGAATTATAGATTTAACCCCTTAGGCCTAAGGCATGAAGGTTTGGAGCTAAATGGAGCAAAGAAAACTTGCTATTACCTTTAAAGTTTAACAAAATGATGAAATTCTTGTGGATTTCTACTCAGAAAATTATGGGCTTCTAAGTGTGATGTAGCAGGCATTTTTTTTTTCATGTATTTTGCATAAAATGCATGATATAGCAACTGAAAGTGCTGCTTTGCTACACACATGTTGGCATTTGGACATACCAGTAAGATTACATGGGGCGGAACTTGCTGTATTGGTAAAATTGTCTCACTTTATGCTTTTAAGTGAAAGGTAAGAAGAAGCAGTTCATTTATCCACCTAAAAACATGTAGCTCTATTTTGAATATGCTTATTAAATTGAAATAAGCCAGTAGCCATTCAGCACTCACACAGTCAGGGTATTGTCTTATTTTCCTGCTCATAAAATAAACTTTAATAAACTTTCCCGGTACAGTTTGTGTTCCATAATTTTTTTATTTTATTTTATTATTTTTTTTGTGTGTGTGTGTGTGTGGCTAGCTCAGCCTGCTCTGGGGGCAGGGCTGGCATGGCACTAGGGATTGAACTGTGGTCCCTAAATTTTGTCTAAGCTTGCCCAAGCAGGTGTTTAGACTGCGGCCCCTACATTCCATAATTTTTAAAGGGATTTATTCATGGATTTCATTCTCTACATCCCCTGTTAACATACAGCTTCCTTTAAAAATCAGAAAACACAATTTCACAGGAACCCAGCAGTGTGTACAGCTGATATATATCTAGAGGAAGAGATACGAGGTGTAACAACTACATGGGGCATCTTCAGAGATACAGTGCTTTGAGATTATTCAGTGCTAGCTAGATGTCGAGGGGCTTATTTACTTTAGTAAAACATGAAAAGCTGATACCTTTCATGGAAGTTAAAGAATTCAACCTAATGTTGGTGTTAGATGGTGAAAATTAGTTTAAATTGAACAATTCTGTAATATTGGATAGAGAGGCACTTCAGTGTTCATCTTCTTTTTCAAATTTTGTAATTAAAAGCTTTTGCAAAAGCACAAAAAAGAAATCAGATTATAAATTAAGAGCAAAATAAAAGATATACAATAGGAAGTAGGGAGATCGATTTATGGTTAGATATACTAACTAAGGATGCCTGGTTTGAGATCTTCCTATTTAATTTCTGTTTATTGAAAACCAATAAAAAGCTTGTCTTACTGAAATAGGACATTAGTAAGGAGTAAATTTGCCCTATAAAGATGCAGTATTTCAGTGATAATATTTAGTTTAAGCTGAGGAGAGTTATGTTCCCCTCACAATTAAATACTTTATTGTTGTGACTATCCAGAATAAAAGGGAAAAGAAAAGCCTAGTTTCTTCTTTTTCTTTTCTTTTTTCCTTTTTTTAATTTTGGTGCTTGGATCAAATGCAGGACTTGTTCATTTCAGGCAAGAGCTCTACCACTGAGTGCCATCTCCAGCCCAGGCCTGGCATTTGGCCCCGATCTACCCTTTTTTTCTCTCTCCCCTCCCCTCATTGCCCTCATTCTTTCTTTCTTGTGCTACGGAGAGACTGAGCACAGGGTATTTATGCTGAGCCTACATCCTCAGTCCCTTTGTAGGCCAGTTTTTGCTAAATTGCCTTAGCTGGGCTCAAAAGTGTGATCTTCCTGCCTCAGCCTTGTAGGATGCGAGGACTACATGCAAGTACCACCTCACCTGGCTCAGCATGTAGTTCATTTCTGAGTGTCTTAGTGTCTATGTTAGGGATAATAATAAATTTCTATCTGTCTTGCAGGAATCTATTTAAATGAGGATTAGTGACTAAACATTGCTAAAAACCATTTGAGGACTATTTGAAGTGTTAACTGCATTCCCATTTATTACTTGACTTGTAAATAACTTTGCGAAAAGTAAATAAATTAAGTTTACATCGATCTTCAGATTAGGGGCTAATATTACATGTAGAGGAAATGAGACCAACCCAACTTGGCAGCTTTCCCAAACTTAAAAGACTGCTGAGGCTAGATTATTTTATACCAACTCTCAGCACAAGTTACTTACTGAAAAGAAATTAACGGGCAGTGGATTGCTTGAGGCTCTGGCTACCCAGTAATAGTTGCTTAAAAGAGGAATGAATGGAAGGGATAGCTTATGGCAATCATTGTAGGGATTAGAAACTGGGAAAAAATTGGATAAAAAAAAATTTAAAGAAGGCTTTCACTTTTACATGCAATGTTATTTCCTTGTTCTCTGAGATACCTTCTTAAAAGTGTACATTATCCTTTCACCAGGCAAATGTGCTCAGTTGAGTGTTGATTAACAATACCTGGGTTGACCCTGCAGCCCTGCAGGGGGTTTTCTTGGATGTCAGGCAGTGAAGCACCTGCATTGAGCTCTCTCTTCTTTCTGCCTTGCAGGTGTGAGAATGCTGGATGGAGACGTCACAGACATGGTGGAGGCAAAGTCAGTCAGCTTCAACCCCCAGCACGTGCACATATACAGTGCCAGCTGGGGCCCAGATGACGATGGCAAGACCGTGGATGGGCCCGCTCCCCTCACCCGGCAAGCCTTTGAAAATGGTGTTAGAATGGTAGGTTTTGAGAGCACCGAGGCTCATCTAAGGTGACGGTAAAAACCTTATAGGTGTCCCATCCTCCAGGGGTGTAGGTATGCGTGGGGCCTGTGGGCTGAGCCAGCAGATACACTAATGAAAAGCATTGTGAGGTGTCTCTGCTCTACTGATGAACTGTTAGCTGGAGGCTTTCCTCTGAAGGGATAGAGGTGTTTTCTGATGCTTAGGCCCACTGACAGGAACTGTGTTAATTAATGTGTTAATCTCACATGTTGAAAAGAAAATTCTTGGGGCAGTGACATTGAGTGGAATTGTGAACACCCTCCAGTCAGTGCTAATAGATCAGCCTATGCTGCCCTTCCCCCACCACCCTTTCCCTAGTCTACCCTCTATTCTAGTGCAGTGGTATTTGTTCTCTGGCTCCCAATCCTCTTACCCGAGTAGGTATCTTAATACGTTGTCATTTTCCTCATTTGTAATAAGATCCACTGATCAATCATTATCCTCCAATAAACCAACCACATAATTTAGTGTAAAAAAAGTCTATTTCAAATTACAGATCTTAAAAACTGTCATCTGATTTAAAGAAAATAAAAATATGACCACAGATACTTTTCATGAGGAAAGGAGGACAACTATGCTAGAAGCAGAGTGTTTATTACTCGTGAGTGAAGCTTGGGTGACATAGAGCACACATTTGAACTTGTCCACTGTGGCCCATCAGTGACCTGGTGGCAACCCCCTTTCCTTCCTCGTCTCTTTCTGTCTTGTTGCAATGCAAACATGTCCCATCCTGACTATCTGTCAAAAGATCCTGCTTTCCCTGAGATTTTTCTGCTCCCCCCACCAGGACTGTTGGACCCATGTCATTTGACCTTCAAGCTGCAGCTCAAAGGTCAGCTTTGCTCAGCAATGTCTCACTGCCTAGATTAGAATGAACTACAAACAACTTCATGTTTCTACTCTTCGTGTTCTCACTGTCATTATACACAGTTCTCATCGCATTGTTCTTTGTACTTTCTCCCTAAATTTTAGATTCGTAGAGAGCAGATTTTTGTTGTGCCCTCCACATCTCTTTGGCCTCAGCATAACCCATTGACATTTTAGGATGTGCTCGATAAATGTCTGCTGAATCCAATTTCTTTTACTACAAATGATGCCAACCATAGTCATTATGTATTCCGCTAAAATTCAAAACTGTGGGATGCTGTAAGTTGATCAATGTAATGTTACAATGGGAACAAAAATGATATTAAATCTCCCACATCTTTGTAGGATTGAGGTAGGGTTTGATGGAAGTCTCAACTAAGCTATCTCCAGGTTATTCTGAAATAGACCCAAAGGAAAACTAACAGGCATTCTTCATGTAATGATGGACTACAGACCTGCGACTGAGTCATTAAGTGAATTGGTCACTAAGTGAACAATTGTCTACAGTACATACGTGACAACATTCTGAAGAAAGAAATGGTCAAAGAAAACTCTAGTTTGATGGCTTTTGCTCTCATTTGTGTAATTCTTACATGCAGTGCTGTAATGTATAACAACATAAAACTGCAATATTATACTATATAGTACAATCAGCAAAAATATAAATCAGTTGTATTGTTAAAAAAAACCCTGAGGCTCTATAAACAAGATGAACGTAACTGCACCAAAAAAGATGGATCATACATCTAAACTGTCATTTAACAGGCAGGATGCTAAATGAAGAATATCTGTGTATACTTCTTTTGTAGGCCCTTCCACCTAAGTTTAGGTTTGGTGAGAGCATTCACTTCCAGCTCCGTCAATTTTCTGCTACTTTAGAGTCCTTTAAATTGTAGTGTTGTATTTTAACTTGCCTACAGTTTTCCTTCCCAAATGCCTTAAAACCAATAATCTGATGATTTCACTATCAAAGCTATGGACTATAAATTACTATCCCTATGCCAGTAATAGACTGCTCATTCAAGTTAGTTAAATAAACCAAGCCTAGTTCATATTTTTTGTTCAAGTTAGGAATATGTAACATTTATAATAAAGAGTAATCTGAAATTTCTCATTAACATGGAAAAATGTATATTAAAAATGCACATAGTGGGCCAGGGAGATGACTCAGTAGAATAAGCGCTTCCCTGGCAAGTGCAAGGTCCTGAATTCAATCCCCGGTACCATAAATAAATAAATAAATAAATAAATAAATAAATAAATATAAAAATGCACATAGCCTTTTGAAAGATGCCCCATATCCAATACCAATAACTAGTTTTACTAACAGACTAATAGGACTGCCATTGATTCAAGCAACGCGAACCAAACGTTCCTTGATTTATTTTGGCTGAAGAATTTTTCTTTCAGTGGAAATCTTAACTGGAATCTTGTAAATTAAATTTGACTGAAAGAGTTAGCCTGACAAATGCAAGGTCCTGAGTTCGATCTCCAGTACCACAAAAGAAAAAAAGAAAGATAGGTAGGTAAAAAAATAGTTGAAGTTGGAAACAAGATCATGTGAGAAAACCATTAAAACACATAGAAAGACTGTATATAGAAATGACAAGGGAAAATTACTCTGTACTCATTATTAATTATAGAATTAAGCTATGCTTACTGTGACAGAGCATACACAAAAATATATGAAGATGATATATAATAGAATTCTCCACTCAGCTAGTTAGGCATTGCTAAGAATGTAGACTCTACCTATTCACACTCTTACAAATATTAGCATATCAGCCGGGAACATATTATACCTCTGCACATTGTTTTCTTTAACTAATGATATCCCATGGGCATCAATCCAGGGATTTTGGAGTGTAGAGATACTATAATTTAGATACTGAGGGTGTAGCTCAGTGGTAGAATGCATACTTAGTATGCATGAGGCCCTGAGTTCAATCCCTAACACAGAGGCAGGTGGGGGAAGGCGGGAATCGTTTCTTTGACATTTCATCAAGAATTCTTCAAAGTTTTAATCTAACCAAAAGTATTTGGTTTTAAAGTGAAGCATTAACTTTTCTAGTTGGGTTAGTAACTGTGAGAAGGAGTGATGTATTTTGTGGCGCTTACCACTGCTCATCTAAGCATGGGGGAACTGTGAGGACCCGCTGAGGGACACAAGACCAGCTGGTCAGCATTTCCAGTTCTTAGTTCACAGAGGCTTTCTGGTTAGGCTGTGGTCAGGAGCAGTGCCTGTCCTTTACCTCTCTCTGACCTTCTGTGGCTCAAGTTCCTTCTCTACTTAATAGGTAGTGCTCATAGGGACGTTCCGTGTATTCATTCTATGAGATAAAATGCATGCAGGAATAAATGTAATCCGTGAAATGTCGTACATGCTTGATAAAAGCATTGCAGAGACATGATCACAGATTTTCAAAACACTGTCTCTCTTTGTTTTCAGCCCCTCTCCTTCTCTCCTGGACCAGGTCTACCTGCAGAGTTCTAGAGAAATCCATTGAGTTATCCATTGGAGTAACTTCATGTTGGTGTCATAGCGGCTTCGCATCTGGACTGACTTTCTGATGTCTCCTGCTTCCTTCCTTCCCCTGTCTTTAGCTGTGCTTACCCTTGAGAAAGCACCTTCCCTTTCACTGGGATGATCTGTGGCTACAGAATTTATTTTAGTTATCTGTATTTGTGGTCATGAATTCAATTCTTATTTTCCCAAACGATATCTCTCTAAATGTCTATGAATATAATATTTATTACTGTTAAACAGGATATTAGATAGTCTTTTCCAGGAATAGGAAACCTTTTACTAACTACACTGTTATCAAATATCAAGTGTGATAGTACATTTTACATTCTTTGAGATCATTCTAATTTCTGTACAAAATCCACATTGTCCAACATACAGAAAATAATTGAGTACTTTACACAAAGTCAGATTTTAAAGAATAATGAAATGGTGAGTTGGCTGAGTGATTTGATGAATGGAGGAATAAATGAAAAAACAATTTATTCTGTTTACTGTCTGAGAACCTGTGTGACAGCTGGAAGTTACACTGCCCTATTGAGGTTTATTTTCCACCTGCAAAAATTCAGGAATTGGAGGTTGTTTCTTCTTTTTATTCAATTCAGTGAATTCCAGATTTCTTTTCACATAAAGGGGTGAAGAAGACATGGAGTTTTACATGTAGTTCATGAAAGGTGCTGTATTCCCCCAGCAAGTCAGAAAGCAAACAAGCATAGAAACTATCAGAACCATTTCACCTGAGGATAACAGTATTGAGTGAAATAAAACTGCCACTTGTGGGAAGAGGGAGCTGCTTCGGTGGAGCACAGGGCGTCCTTTTTGAGGAACTGATAACTGAAAAGAGACAGGCGAGATGATTTGGAGCTGCTCATGTGAACTGGAGGAGGAATGTTCTATGCAGAAAGAACAGAGAGATCAAGGAGCCCTGTGTAGAGAAAGACTGGTGCATCCCCAGAACACAGTGCTAGCTTGGGCATGGGAAGCAAGATGGAGAAGACGAGAGCAGGAAGAGGTGGTTGGATAAGGAGTAGGGACTATCTCTGCAGGATTTTCTCAACTAGGAATGCATTTGTTCTCATACGGAATAAAATGATTTGAGACACAGGAATGCGCTGCCTTGATGGACAGTTTTTTAGCTTGCTGCCATGGAGGCAGCACACAGTATGGCGGTAAGGGCTGCCAAAGCAGAGTGAAGACTGAAGGGGTCCAGAAGGGCTAAGCTAAGCTGGTGGCCATGAGAAGGATTTCCACAGAGGAAGAAATACATTTTGCTTGGGAGCCCATGTATTGATTGCATCCATTCCTTCTGCTTGCTAATCAAAAAATGTAGCAAATATTGAATCTCAAAATGCTCCCTGTTTGTTTGCTGTAATATAAGCATTTGGCTCGATAAAATGTAACACTGCTTTCCTAGATTTTAACAAAATCAAAATTGATTCAATTTATGGCTCCTTTAGAATTAATGTGCCAAAATTACATTAGGGAAGCTATGTTAAACAAACCATATCTCAGTTGACAACTTGCTCTTTCTCCCAAGGATTGCATTTCATTTGATGCCAAGGAG